AGCACACAGGTCACACTTCCAGCTGAAGCGGCTGGCAGAACGTGGAGAACACGGAATATTCGCTCCTTTTCCTGTTTTTTTTTTTAATCAATAGAAGTACAATATTTAATATAATTAAAATAAAGATTGAAAGGCAAGCGCTGTGTGGTGTTGCAGAGGAACGCGGGCAGCAGCTCGGATGGAACAGAGGACTCGGATTTCTCCACGGATCCCGAGCACACGGACAGCTCCGAGAGCGACGGCACCTCCCGGAGATCCGCCCGCGTCACCCGCTCCTCCGCCAGGCTCAGCCAGAGCTCCCAGGGTGAGGCTGGGCTCCTGCAGCCGGGAAAGGCTCATCCTTAAATCCTTAAACTGGGGAAAGGCTCATCCTGAAACCAGGGAAAGGCTCATCCTGAAACTGGGGATCCTTAAATCCTTAAACTGGGGAAAGCCTCATCCTGAAACCGGGGATCCTTAAATCCTTAAACTGGGGAAAACCTCATCCTGAAACCAGGGATCCTTAAATCTTTAAACTGGGGAAAGGCTCATCCTGAAACCGGGAAAGGCTCCTCTTTAAACTGTGAATCCTTAAATCCTTAAACTGGGGAAAGGCTCATCCTTAAACTGGGGAAAAGATCATCTTTAGACTGGGGAAAGGCTCCTCTTTAAACTGGGAATCCTTAAATCCTTAAACTGGGGAAAGGCTCCTCTTTAAACTGGGAAAAGGCCCTTCCCTAAACTGGGGAAAGGTTCCTCCTTAGACTGGGAAAAGGTTCCTGTTTAAACTGGGAAAAGGCTCTTCCTTAGACCAGGAAAAAGCTCTTCCTTAAACTGGGAAAAAGCCCTTTCCTTAAACCAGGAAAAAGCCCTTCCTTAAACCAGGAAAAGGCTCCTCTTTAAACCAGGAAAAAGCTCTTCCTTAAACCAGGAAAAAGCTCTTCCTTAAACCAGGAAAAGGCTCCTCTTTAAACCAGGAAAAAGCTCTTCCTTAAACCAGGAAAAAGCCCTTCCTTAAACCAGGAAAAAGCTCCTCTTTAAACCAGGGAAAGGCTCCTCCAGCCCCAGAAGCAATCCTGCTGTTCCCAAGGGCTGGGGGTTCTTATCTAAACTAAAGGATCTCTGCTTCTCCAGCTGGGAGCTGGGTGGTAATTATGGGTTAATTAAGTTAATTAAAGCTGGAGAAAG